TCCTCTACCATTTTGCAAATAACAACATAGATTTTTAGATATTAATTAAAGAAAATTTGTGCATTATGATACATAATCATGTAACAATTTTGTTTAATTAATATCTAAAAATCTATGTTGTCATTTGCAAAATGGTAGAGGACTTTATTGTTCAATTTGACTTAATGTACAAGTAGATAACGCAATTGCAGCTCATTTACCATATCGCGCATTATCATTCACCAATCTTTTTTAATGAATATCTTGACTATTATTGCGAATATCGCAAAATAGTATAGGACTTTTGTGTTCATCTCAATCCGCCTTTCATCCTCACGAGAGATTGTGAAGGTGATCTGGGACGCCCTGTATATAAAATAGGATATCTGACTATATGATGCTTATTAATTCTAAACCCTTTGATCTGGACCAAATTTTACATAGTTATTCTCTAAGAGCCTGCAGAAAATATAGGCTACATGAAACCTGGACACTCTAGTTCTTCCCCTGATTTCTTCCTCTCGACACTTTGTGATAATTTGAGTTTAGATGTTTTAGATATAAAAAGCCCAGACGATGTTAGGTAGTTTTAGCTAGTAGCTAATAAGAAGTCAATGAAATGAAATAGCGAATATATGTATGAATTGCATTTATTTACCTTTACCGATTCAGCCGAATATTAAAATAATGAATGGAAATGTGTGTAACAGTCATCATGTTAAATTAAACGGCCGTTGTTTTAATCGTTTACCTTACATGTTCGCTATCACGACTTATTTGAGGAACTGTCTCTACAGATTATTCCGTATTTTATTTAATAATATAAAACTTAATTTATTTACGTAGGCACAGAGAGTAGAATTATTGCTATCACACTTTATATGACGTTGGTCTTTCGTGGAGGATGAATGCATCACATATATGACGCTGGTAGGGAACGAGTTAAGGTACGCGAGTCTCGGTGAAAGGCGTTATTGATATTTTATTAGCGCTAATTGCTCGTTTCGACTCATGAGTCTTTCGTCTCCGATCTCACGGCCGATTTGTTGTCGAGGTGAGATTTTGAGAAAAAATGCTGTACGGAGTGAGGCGCTATTAATAATATTGGCAGGCGAGTCTCACTCGCGCTTGTTGTGCTCCTGTAAATCATTGTCCGCTCACTTACGTGTCGAAGTTAGCTTTGTTATGTCAGTTTTTTGTTCTAAACGACCCATCGGAGCTCTGGAAATAGAACGCTCCATGCTCACTTTGATCCTTTTCAAACGTTTCCTTTCTAATTTGGTCTTCGCTATTTCACACTAGACGCGCGTACTTTTATACCATTTTTGGTGTTTCATTCCGGGAATAACTATTCATTCATCGTCTCTTGTTATCTACCACCGCAGTGACATTGAAATTAACTGTCGTATAAAATTAACTTGCGTCGGATCTTTCTTAACGTCATCCATATATTTAAATATTTATTTAATACCTTGATAACATTTGTATTCAATTATTTGAATCGTCCGATATTTTTATAAATTTGATGAAGTAAGATTTATACTGACAGAAAAAGAGAATATCTAAGCAATAGTAAATATTTATTCGGTAT